TTGCGGAGAAATTAACTCTTATCTCTAAGTTAAGAGGAATATGTGTCATTGTTTATTAACATTGAAAAATATATAAATATCTGGCTATGATCTACTTTTGTATTTATCTTCAATATTATAGGATATAAACAGTTTTATCCACTTAGGTAAGATTTTTTCAATAAAATCTTGTTGTCTTAGTCACATGTTATACACGATAAAATTATAATAAAAAAAATAAAAAATAAAAAATTTGGATGTTTTAAAGTTTTTGTGTTGTTCACTCAAGTTTTTGCTTTGATGAATTTTGGTATCATATATACCAAAATCTCACATTATTGACTATAACTATTTATATCCCATAATATTGGAGATAAATTAAATATACTTCAAATCTTAGTGACCAAAGGTAAAAACTTACATTAGTTTCCTGTGGTTATGTAATGGGCCAAAAGTTATTAAATTATATTAAAAAATAGTATCTTCAATTTTTCTCTACCTTTATTGTAACAGAAGCAAACACAAATGATGAAGAAAACTTTATATATAAGCTAATTATGATTTCACTTAAATTAAAATAACCCAATTATAATTCCAAAACATCTGATCCAATCATTTTCAACCAAATTGTACATAAGAATGTTTTAATAACACATTTAATGATAATAGGTAGTGGGATGTGTGTGATGGAAACAAGATATAAGACAATGATTGTACTTGTGTAATTCTTGAAAGAAAAAACATTAATGATTGCATCATATAATTTTAGCTATTTGCTGGTGGTGTGGTGTGGTACTGTGGTGTGGGGTTGCTTTTTATTTTCATTATTGCGTAGGTGTACTGTCATCACTCTCATCATCATGTTATTATTAATCTTAATTAAAGTTTAATTAACGAGTTGAAATCAAACCCCGTTCAGAAAATTTTAATTTGTTTTTCTTAACAATAACTTCATTAAATATATCAAATTTCGTTTTAGATTCCTATTGTACGCCGTCACCTCTCTCTCAATAATAGAATCGTCTTAGGGGCCTTTTTAAGTGATCACCCGTTTATTAACCTCTCAACATTGTTGATAATTTTTGTTATGAATACGTCATTTCCTTTAAACTTAAACAGAATAATCCAATGATTCATAAAAAATAAGAGTTAAGATTGCATTTCTAAAACTAGCGGGTACTCTCTATAAAAAATACCAAACATACGAAGGTTACGGTGGCATTTTCGAAACTAGCAAGCGTTGGCTACAAAAAAGCCAACACGTGAAGGTTTATAATAATAATAAAAAAAACAATTTTAATACTATATTTTGTTTTTAAATCCGTAACTTTAATAAAGAATTTAACATTTTGGAGACGTTTGGTTGGAGATTATATGAGATTATTGAGGTAATGCCATCTTATATTACTTCATTACCAGTTTACCAAGTTTGGTTGTCAAGTAATATAAGATTCCGATAATCTTCTAATACCAATAGTATTTATTGTAGGTAATATTAGAGGTTATCTTATAACCTCAATTTTCTAAGGTATTGTAAGATTACTTGGTTACCCTATTTTTGTTACAATTTTATCCCTTATTGATAAAAAATTTGGACAATAATGCCCTTGTTTAAAAAATCAATTTACATTAATCTACCATTACAATTTTACCCTTGTTTAATTAAGTTTCTGGACAATAATGCCCTTATATTTAAAACAAATTATAGACCACCCTGCCACCCAACCAGAACCTCCGGAAAGTCATCGGGAGTAGTTGGGAGGCTCCGATATGGCTGTCATTTCTGACCATATCTAGATCTGGCCATTTCCGATTATATCTACTCCGATATGGCCGTTTTCGGCCATCAATATGACTAGAAACGGCCATATTGGAGCCTCTTAGTGACTCTCGACCATTTTTAGCGACTTTCGACGACTTCTGACAGCCAGTGGCGGTGGCTTAGGGTGGTGGGGGTGATTTTGTTATAAATTAAAGTTTTATATAAACCGTGATGTTTTAGCTAAATTTGAAATATTAGGGGTTGAAAAGAATTATTCAAAAATTAATAATAAAAATAATATTATATTAATATTTAAAAAGAGGACAATTTAATCATTTAAATAACATACTAACCAAACATATTTTTCTAAAGATTTCTAGTAATCTTCAAGGTAATCTAATTTTCTATTAATATAATATTCCCAGTAATCTAACATTCTTTGAACCAAATACACTCTTGTACACCATACAAATATACTACACTTGAATCTCTCTAAATAAGCTTTACCATCTCATTAAAGTCTGAGTGATTAATAATAATACAAATATTTTTGTTTTTCCATTACATGCTTTTCTTTTACTATTGCCAATAAATTTAAACGCGAGGGGATTGAAAAAATCATTATATTAATAATATTTCAATTATATTATATATACAAATTATTCACGTTAACTATTTCTTATAAGTTGATATATTAATGTGTGACAGAGTTTGTATTATTTACAATCAATATTTTGATTATTTTCATAACTGCTAAATTGGCACTTAAAAAAAATTGATATTGACATAACAAAACTTAGCATGCCCATGGCATTGATCTAATTAACAAACCTGGATCAAGCATAAATAACATGAGTTTACCGAACTCCTAAATTACCAAGACTTATAATCTTCAAGTTAAGCATTAACGATAAATAAACGCAAAAAATAAATAAATAACAAAGAAGTGTTGGTACCAAATTGATCATAAATTAGAAATATAATAGAATCAAACAAACTATAATTACTGGATTGATTGTCCAACCCTGGAGTTGGAAACCCATTTATACATGAGTAAAATTACTTTTTAAATTGTAATTATTAAAGTATTTTTTTTATTTTTCATTAATTGTTGAAATTTTATTTTGATGCTAATGTTTAAACAATGGACCATCAAGAATGTATTAAAACTCCTCTTCTTTACGCTGCAAATTCAGCCAAACATTGGATTACAGAAAACAGTGCAATCCCATTAATTTTGTCCAATCCCATACCGCCTATTATATGCGCCGGGCTAGTTTGTAATTAAATTTAAGGTTTTTTTTTTGTTTTAAGATTGTGGACAACAATTATGGTGAAAGAGTTGGAAATATTGCAGTTGCGTACAAAGATATAATTGTTGTCAAGCATCGTGCCGTAAATTTCGCCTAAAAACGTGTTCGACTTTGATATTTTTATTAACAATTTCTTTAATACATAAAATTTTCCTTTTTATAAGAGTCAACTGGAATACTTAACTCTAAATTCCAAACTTTTAATTGGATGTGTGGGAGGATTTGAACAGAAAAATTAAATAAAAGAAATTGAAGAGATAAGGTTATGAATTTAAGTAGTGGCTGAGGGAGGGGCTGTCAATATTGGCCTATCCAAAAGCAGATTATTATTGTTTTGCTTAACAACCCTGTAATTACGTTTCTCTTATTCTATGTGGAAATTTGTTTACCAATGACTTTGTCTTAATTATCTAACAAAGATGAGTGATCAACTTGTGTTTAGACATATTGAATTTGGGTTATCCTAAACACGTGTTTGACTTAAATCTTATACATTAACCAATAGATTCACGGACGTAGTCAAGATTTTTAGTGAGTGAGTGTGTTTAAAACATTTAAATTAATAAAATTATAATAAAATTTTGTAAGATGAACATGAATTTAAGTGTGGTTAAAATTGTAAATTCTATAAAATATAAAGACTTTTTTTATTTTTTTTTTAAAATTGGGCGGATTCAATTGAACCCGTGCCTGAATGAATTACGTTTATATTTTGATGGAATACCAAAGTATAAGTGTATTTAACATTTCAAAACTTGTCATGAATCTCTTCTTAAAAATACATTGCTTTACTCTTGTAAGAGAAGCTCAATTTCGCTTTGACACAACCAATAATGTTTTAATAAAATGAGTTATATTTTGATAAGTTTTCCTCCATAAAATTTTGCGCCAACCTTCAACTTCAAAGAGGAAGAGTTTCTTGAATTGGGCCAAATGGGTAGCCCATTTATTAACGGAACACGTGATAATAGTGCACAATTAAACTTCGGCCCTCTTTTTATATATATATAAAAGAAGAAAAAAACTTCTCGCGGCAACAAAATAGGCACGTTAAATGAGACCAACTTTATTTATTTTCATAGGGATCTGTCTACAAAAGTCGAAACGTTTTCTTCTTCCTAGCATGAATCTACACTAATAAGTTTGCCAAAGTTAATAATTAATTTAGTTTGATGGGAATAAAAGCTCATCTACAGTTAACTTCAATAGTAATAGTAAGAGTAAATGAAACCTTTTCCCACATAAATAAATGGTTTTATGACACTTTTTAATTTATAAACTTTTAAAATACTATTTTATTATTTAAATTTGTATTTCGTTTTCAATTTTGATATCATTGCGATCTTACATCATTGCTATTCTCTTTCTCGATTATCACTCACAAAAAAACGCTCAAATTCTATTTCTGTCGATCTCACCAATTGTCGCTAACCGAGCATTATGGTTTATACAACTGTCCCTTCCAAATCAAATTTTGATCAATCATAACTATTAAAATCTAATATTTTACTATCAAAAGATTTATCAATTTTATTTTTTTAAAAATCTCAACAACCTATATCGAATTCGCTCTTTATTCATTATCAAAATATAAATTTAATAATAAAATAATATTTTAAAAGTGTGTGAATGAAAAAGTATCATTTTGGGCGAAGAAAAAATAGTTAACTCTAATATAATTTTTAATTTTACATGCTTTCATCAAATGGCACATGGCCTGTAAACAGCAGGCCAACTAAATAATTTATTTATTAAATAAATAAATAAAACTATTTAGTTACATTTATTTAAAAAATGAAACGTGTAAAACGGCAGATGAATCGACATGATAAACAGATGCTTATTTATTTAAAAAAATAAAAAGAGTAGAGGTGGTGTTTAAAAGTTTCTCCCACTAAGTTGTACCTAAAGGCCAAAATCCTCGTCCTCTCTCTCTGTCACTCATTTATTTGCAAACACAACCTTGACCCTAGGGTTTCCTTTACATCTTCTCTCGCTCGATTCAGGTTTTCTTTTTCTATCATTTTGTTTCACTTTTGAATTGTTATTCTACAACAATTGTTTCTTGGGATTTGGTGGTTTTTGTTTCTTCAACTTTGTATAATTTTCACAAACCTTGTTTATGTGGAGGTTTTGATCTTCTTTGGATCCCGTTTATTTATTAATTTTTACTAGTTCTATTAATATTCACTGTTTCTGTGTACAAGCTTTTCTGGGTTTGCTCGTTTTTGACGTTAAAGTTTTGGGTTTGCTTAATTTCTGTGATTTTTTAGCTTGCATGCATGATTGGGTGATTTGCAGATCTGGGGTTTATAGTTTGATTGTTGAGAAATGAGAAAGGGAAAACTGATGGATTAAGGCCTTTTTTAGCTTTGACTTTGTTAAAATTGTTTACATTTTATCTCAGCTGAGCTATGTAGTTGTATTAGGTTCATTTGAATGGAGGGGTTTGCATCCTGTGGTCTTGGATGATGGAAAATTTGAGGTGTGGTACTTTAATTTCAGTTTTGATTAGTTTCCTTGCAAACAAAGAGAGTCGTTGGATGGATCTCTGATCTTATGCAGATGGTTAAATGAAACTGCTCCTATGTATGCGCAGGATACTGTGTATAGTCCTAGCATTTTGTGCTTGGTTTTTTGATCTTTTATCCTCTTTTATGTAAATTGTGGTTGAAGTCTAAGAAAGTTTCTTAGTGATTTTAATATGGTTATTTGGATTTCCTAAATCTTGTATGATTTGGAAATTAATTACATATACTATCAATTAGATTCTTTTATATAACTCAGTGATAAACTTTAAAGTGGACATCTAGTATTCTTACTTTGATGCAAATTAATTCGCGATAATGTTAAATGTGTAATCTAGTATTCTTGATGAAATGCATTTATTAGACTTCAATAGACTGAATTGGATTGGTCATTGGAGCTCTTTATCTGTATATCAGTGAATTTTATTTCAATCTTCTTCTTTTTTTTTTTTTCATATGGCAATGCTGGTGGAATCAAATTTTACTTTCTTTATTGTTTCCCTTAATAAAATTACTTTTATGCAGGCTTTTTTTGATGATCACCTCATCATGATGGGATCAATGGTATGAGGGATAGTATGCAGGATTGAAAAAGGTTATGCTAGACCCACGTTGATATACATCTATCCACAGTATGGAAGATGATAATGGTCTTGAGCTGAGTTTGGGTTTATCCTTTGGTGGATCAGCTGTTAAATCCAAAGGTAAAAGTGGTGGCTCTTTGGATGCTAAAACAGAAGAAGATGATAGAGGCAACAAAATAGATGATTTTAAAAATTTCCTGAATGGCGGCAACCAGAAACTGGACTCTGGTACTGGATCTCAGAGAAGTGATTCTGTGAAACCTCAAGAAAATTTCTTTAATGATCTTTGCAAGGCCAGTGCTGATGCCGATCCTTCTATGAACTTGAACGGCAGAGGGCTCTGGGTTACAAACAGCAGACCTGAAATTGAGGAAGCAAAACGACCAGAGGCAAGTAACAAACGGAAAATGTTGTTTGATGACATGAACAATCAAAAAAAGCATGAGAGAGAAGCTCACCCTGCTGATTTACATGACAAGACAAAAACATCCTATATTTCCATAACAACTGAGGAAGGCTCGACTGCTGAAAATGAAGATGTGGCCGAGTCTGAAGTTGAGGGCTCAACATCAAGGCTGGTTTCTCACCATGATGATGGTTCCAAACAATACATCGGAGTTGCCGGTGCTTCTGAGGTTCCGAAGGACGTCCGCGGGTTTTCTAATTCAAACATTGTGAATCTACAAGGACAAAAGAGGTTTAACAGTTCATCAGAAAATGAATTTAAGCTTGGAAACATGACCTACGGCGCTCCATTCTCAGTCCAATCACTAAACATCATGAATATTCCATACACAATATCTATGAAAGATTCTAACTCTTCTGGTGTACCTGGCTCATCTGGCCATCCACTACCTGGCATGATACAGAAGATGCCTACTACAAATAATGATCGTCAAGGAGCCCAGTCTGTGAATCCTGGAAACTTCCCAGTTATGTTTGGGTACTCACCTGTCCAACTTCCAATGTTTGATAAAGATAATTCCTGGGGGTCGGTTTCTCAATCTCAGCAGCTCCACCCTTCCTATGCTGGCAGAGGTCCGCCTAACTCAGATAAGCAGAACGATGGATTAAAGATATCTCAAGGTCTGGTAGTTCACTTCCTTATGTTTCTTTATTAAAGATTGGAGAAGAAATGGTTAGGATATTCTCTAGGAGGTATGCTGGTAAAATATGCTCTAACATCCCTTTTCCATTCCACTGACACTATTCAAAGTGCTCTTACCATTCTTGACATCAAAGTGCTTTTGGACAGAACATTGATCTTTGCTGATATACTCTTTGCCTATTGACACATTGTTGCCCTACCTAGGAAGAAAATTGATTATCTGAATTCAAATATGTTGTTAAAACCATTTGAAGCCGAATTGTACTTAATTATTTACTTTTAATATTCGTCGTGTTTTAACTGGTGGAAGGATAATAGAATACTCCAAAGGACTTGGGCAAAATATTGTTTTAACTATTTTTCTTTTGAGGCTATGCCCACCTTTTGTCATTACAAATTTGAAAATTCTACCACTGTTTGCTGGTGCTGCTTTTGTTGTTTTTTTTCTCCTGGAAAGAATGGCGTTTTCTCTTTGCTATTTTAGTTACAAGATTTATTATTGAAAGAATTTCTGTTCTTTATCCTGCTATGTTGATGTAGCTGCCATGCAATTTGATGGGAGGACTATAGAATGGGCCAAAAGTGAAGGGAAACAGCTTGGCACAGAAGAAGGTTCATCTACTCAGGCAGAAGAAGATGGTAAAGTAAGTGGCGTGAACAATAGGGCAAAAGATGCATCCGACCGTTCAACATTGGATGGTTTCACTCTTGATTTATCAGCTATAAAGCCAGGTATTGAAGCAGACCTGAAATTTGGGGGATGTGGTTCATACCCAAATTTACCATGGGTATCAACCAAGGGTTCTGGCCCAAATGGTAGGACAATATCTGGTGTTACTTATAGGTACAGTGCAAACCAAATCAGGATTGTTTGTGCTTGTCATGGTTGCCACATGTCCCCTGAGGAGTTTGTTCGGCATGCCAATGACGAGAATAGTAATCCAGAGGGTGGTGCTGGATTGTTGACATTTTCAAGTTCAAATCCCGCTGCCTCCGCTCAGAGCTGAAATTTACTTTGTTGAGACTGATATTAATTAACATGTGAACAAAGAATATTGGCTATAGCTTTGTAACTAGTGAGATTCTTCCTTCCTTTTCTTGCTACGCCTGTTTATTGGTCTTATCACTTATCCAAACCAGAATAGCCAATACCGCGGGTTTATGTAATAATCTTTATCACTATTTCTTTGTGTAATAGTAATGTCAAGCATTTCAGTTCTACAGCCGTTGCATTTTTGAAAGGAAGCTGTGGTACATGAAACATCACATAGAATAAGGGAAAATATCACAATTTCTGGTATGGTATAAATGAGTGAAACTTGAATCACGCAGGCCAATTTCATCTTGTGGCAGATTATGGGAATATTGAGTAACCATGCTACAAAATAGTGTTGTGGAAGTTTTTTTCCTTAATTAATTAAGTTTCATTTACGTCATTTATTTGAATACTGTACATCAAAAATTCTTTATTTCCTTCAAGTCAAGCTGCCATGCCATGGATTGGATTGGATGTCAATAATAGAGTAATGCTTTATTCACAGAGTTGAGGTCTCGAATTTGGATTATTATCATGAGCAATTGCAGGAAATAAAAAAATTTATAACAATTCCACAATCAATCTTAATAAGGCACATTTAAAAAAATTATAAAAATGTAGTAATTTTATTATCTGAAATAATTTAAAACTGAGCTCATATTCATAAGGATGTGCAATATAGGTAATCACACGCTTTCTAAATGCAAATTCTCCTGAGGCCTGATATGGTTATTGATGTGTCCCATGTTGCATACACAATGACATTATTCTTTCGATTGGGCTTCTGGTTCATACTTCATACGTGCTTGAAGAAATTTTATTTCCTCAATCTATTTCCTCAATCTATATATATCTACATAATCCTGAAGCACTTGCTATTTGAACGCCATTTAGGACTTTATAATTTCTACAAGTGTCAACATGTTATTAGTTTAGACTATAATTATTGTACGTGTCAACATGTTATTGGTCTAGGCTATTTGGTATAACTACATGCATTCAATGTTTGGTAGAAATACTTCACATTTACATTAAATGTTTTGATGATTATATGTTTGTTTAATGTTTAATTGGATAAATATAAACACTTTACATTCATATTTATTGTTTTATGTTTCATTGTTTTTGATGAATTTAGTTTGATTTATTGATTTTGTCTAATTGAATATGAAGGAGCACATTTATAGTATTTGTGAAAGGGTATAAATGCAAGAATAGATGTGAATTGTGAAGAGGGCATTAATATTATTTGTCAAATGATATAAATGCATGAATAAATGTGAATATTAATGGATTGATAAAATGTATTATTGATTTTCATAAATGTGAAAAGATACATTGTATACTGTATTCATTACTTTGAATTATATATATATTAACATTTTGTTATATGATTTATCTGAAGAAAGAGAGGTAATCAATTTTTAATTCTTATTTGCGATTGTTTTCTTTTGGTTTTTCTAGTTTATTGTTAAACTTTTTATTTTGATTTCATGTAGTTATATACTTTTGGTTGGAATATAATATTTGTTGTCATAGTTGGAAATTACATGCTGTTGAAGGTAATGTATTCATTTGACTATGCTTCTTTAATTGCTTGGAGTTTATTCGCTATTGTATTGTTATATTCTAGTTCAATTGCTTAGCATTTTGTAATATAGTTGTTTTTTTTTTTTTTTTTTTTTTTTTTTTTTTTTTTTTTTTAAATAAAGGGTATGTAAGTTATTGTATGGTTTTGACTATTTCATTGTTTAGTCCAATGGGGAATTGTACATCCTTAGACAGAATCGCCCGATCAATTTGCTGACCAGTAATTTTGTTGATTAGATTATAACAAGTTATAAGAAGACATAGGCGGACCATTCTGAACAATTTATTTGTCAACTGTTGTACTGAAAAAATCTGTGTGGCGAACAATTATGATCAATGGTTTTGTTGGCGAATAATTATGATCAAATGTTTTGTTGCTATTTGCTGATGTCTGTGCCAAACCGCTTTTATCATAATGTTATTGACGATTGTACTCTATAATTGTAGTCACTTGCCGAACCATTCTGTTTAATTGTAAGAGTCGAGATGCAAAGCTATTTAGATTGTACAATACAATTACAATAGACCATTTGCTGAACATTATCCATTAACAATTGTAATACTGTAATGTCCATTTTAGTTAATACTACATTAAAAGTTTATTTCATGATTTTCATCTTAATTGCTGCAAGCAAGTTGCCTAACAAAATATGATCAATAAACATATCAAAGGAAGATTGTACTATAGAATTACAAGAGACCAGATGTTGAACCATTATTCATTGAACTATAGAATTGTAACAGTCAAAAGTAAATTGGTGATAACTTGCTTAATAAAAATCCATTTGACAAACGGTTTGAATATTTGGAAACTAGACAGATAGGAATTTAATTTGATATATTATACGCTGAATTTGGATAACTGTAGACCCACTGCCGAATCATTCATTTTATCACCACACACATTTCGGTTTTCCCCGTTTCTCGATTTCCATTGAATAGTCAATAGTAAATATTCTATAACTTGCTCAATAAATATCCAATTGAAGAATGGTTTAAATATTTGAAAACTAGACAACCAAGGATTTAATTTGATATATTATATGCTGAATTTGGATAATTGTACGCCCACTGCCGAACCATTTATTTTATTATTACACACATTTTGGTTTCCCCATTTTCTCGGTTTCTACTGAACAGCCAATAGTAAAATGACCATAACTTGCTCAATAAAACTTCAATTGACGAACGGTTTGAATATTTGGAAACTAGATAGACAAGGATTTAATTTGATATATTATACACTGAATTTTGATAACTGTAGATCCATTGTTAAACTATTCATTTTATCATCACACACATTTTGGCTTACTCCATTTTTCGGTTTTTACTGAACAGTCAGTAGTAAATTGGCAATAACTTTCTCAATAAAACTCCAATTGACGAACAGTTTGAATATTTGGAAACTAGATAGACAATGATTTAATTTGATATATTATACGCTGATTTTGGATAACTATAGACCCATGGCTAAACCATTCATTTTATCATCACACGTATTTCGGTTTCCCCTGTTTCTCGGTTTTGACTGAATAGTCAGTTGTAAATTTGCTATAACTTATTCAACAAAGATCTAATTGATGAACGGTTTGAATATTTGGAAACAAGACATACAACGTTTAAATTTGATATATTATACGTTGAATTTGGATAACTTTAGACCCCCTGCCGAACCATTTATTTTATCATCACACACATTTCGGTTTCTCCTGTTTCTCGGTTTCTATTAAGCAGTCAATAGTTAATTAGTCATAACTTTCTCAATAAAAATCTAATTGATGAACGGTTTGAATCTTTGAAAACTAGACAGACAAAGCTTTAATTTGATATATTATACGGTGAATTTGGATAACTATAGACCCACACCTGAACCATTCATTTTATCATCTCACACATTTTGGTTTTCCCTATTTCTCAGTTTCCATTAAACAATCAATAGTAAATTTGTTATAACTTGCTCAATAAAGATCCAATTGATGAACGGTTTAAATATTTGAAAACTAGACAGACAGCGTTTTAATTTGATATATTATACGTTGAATTTAGATAACTTTAGACTCCCTGTCGAACCATTCATTTTATCATCACACATATTTCGGTTTTCATTAAGCAGTCAGTAGTAAATTGACCATAACTTTCTCAATAAAAATCCAATTGATGAACGATTTAAATAGTTGAAAACTAGACAGACAGGGCTTTAATTTGATATATTTACACTGAATTTAGATGACTATAGACCCATTGGCAAAAAAATTATTTTATCATCACACACATTTTGATTTTCCCCGTTTCTCAGTTTCCACTAAACAACCAGTAGTAAATTGACCATAACTTGTTCAATAAAAATTCAATTGATAAACGGTTTGAATATTTTAAAACTAGATAGATAGTGCTTTAATTTGATATATTATACGCTGAATTTGGATAACTGTAGACCCACTATCAAACCATTCATTTTATCATCACACACATTTTGCTTTCGCCTGTTTCTCGGTTTCCACTAAACAGTTAGTAATAAATTTGCTATAACTTACTCAATAAAGATCCAACTGAAGAACGGTTTGGATCTTTGAAAACTAGACAAACAGGGATTTAATTTGATATATCATACACTACATTTGGATAACTGTAGACCTACTATCAAACCATTCATGTATCATCACACACATTTTGGTTTCTCCCGTTTCTCGGTTTCCACTGAACAATCAGTAGTAAAACTACTGTAACTTGCTCAATAAAAATCCAATTGATGAATGATTTCAATATTTGAAAACTAGACAGATAGCGTTTTAATTTGATATATTATACACTAAATTTGGATAACTGTAGACCTACTACCGAACCATTCATTTTATCATCACACATATTTTGATTTCTCCTGTTTCTCGGTTTCTATTAAACAATCAGTAGTAAATTTGCTATAACTTTCTTAATAAAGATTCAATTGATGAACCGTTTAAATATTTGGAAACTAGATAGACAGGGCTTTAATTTTATATATTATACGCTGAATTTGGATAACTGCAGACCCATTTCCAAACCATTCATTTTATCATTACTGACAATTCAGTTTTCATTGAACAATCAGTAGTAAATTGACCATAACTTGCTCAATAAAAATCCAATTGAGACCAGTTTGAATATTTGGAAACTAGACAGAAGGGATTTAATTTGATATATTATACACTGAATTTGGATAACTGCAGACCCATTTCCGAACCATTTATTTTATCATTACTGACATTTTGATTTTCACTTAACAATCAGTAGTAAATTGACCATAACTTGCTCAATAAAAATCCAATTGACAAATAGTTTGAATATTTGGAAACTAGACAGATAGGACTTTAATTTGATATATTATACGCTGAATTCGGATGACTATAGACCTATTTCCAAACCATTCATTTTATCATCATATACATTTTTGTTTCCTCAATTTCTCAGTTTTTACTAAACAGTTAGAAGTAAATTGATTACAACTTGCTCAGTAAAAATCCAGTTGGGGAGCGATTTGAATAATTGAATACTAAATAGACAGGGCTTTAATTTGATATATTATACAATGAATTTGGATAATTGTAGACCCCCTGTCAAACCATTCATTTTATCATCACACACATTTTGGTTTTCCTTGTTTCTTGGTTCTTGCTGAATAGTTAGTAGTAAATATGTCATAACTTGCTCAATAAAAATCCAATTGATAAGAGGTTTAAATATTTGAAAACTAGACAGACAGAGTTTTAATTTGATATATTATATGTTGAATTTGGATAATTGTAGACCCGCTGTCAAACCATTCATTTTATCATCACACACAATTTGGTTTCCCCTTGTTTCTCAATTTCCATTGAACAATTAGTAATAAATGGGTCATAACTTGCTCAATAGAAATTTAATTGATGAGTGGTTTGAATCGTTGAAAACTTGAGAAACAGGACTTTAATTTGATATATTACACGATGAATTTGGATAACTGTAGACCTTTTCAATTATGGTTGAACTACACTTGAAAGAAATGACAAGTTATTTAAAACAATGTATGAAATGACATCATTTTAAAATGTTAAGATATTTTGACACTAAAAGGCGACCCACACAATAAAATCATAATGTAAAACTATATACATCTTCAATTTGATAGACCTATACAATGTATGTACTTCAATAGTAGATATCAACCAATTGAAACATCCAATTATTTAAATAAATGTGGTGTCAAAACCAATATCATAAGCAACGTGCACAACGCGCGAGACTTTGCACTAGTTAAATAAAAAAAGAAAGCAATTCTTGCTCATTTGAGGGAGCTAGAAACCTCAAAGTTTCAATAGAACCTTTATGCAAATAATCATGATCCCATTCCAATAGTAATCTAGGAAATATATAACAACTTACAACCATACTTTCCTATTGAATAGTAAAACACTTAACAACTTAAACAAACCAAAAAAAAAGTTCAACACCAGCTAAAAAATTCTAAATACGTGGATGACTTATAAAACTAAAATAAAACTTATCAATATCCTAATCTAATATATTTAAACTATTGAGATAAACTCAATATTAATTAACTAATAAATCTATAAAAACATTAAAATATAATTTAGTTAACATTTACCCATGGGCACTATCAGAGTATCAGCGTCGTGCCATGTAATTGAGTCTCCTTTAATGGTTATAAATTGGGAAAAAGAGTTTCTCTTAGAAATGGGTCCTACCAAGTGTCCTGGAGTTTATTTTAGTATTCCCAACTGTAAAGAAAAAGGTTAAAATTGACTGAACAAGATTCACTGTCAACAAATTTTAATTGTTGTCAAATTTTGACGAATTTCAGAACCCATGATAAACTCTCAACGTACTAATTCAAATCTTAAGAAAACTGGTTTTTTTTTTTTTTTTTTTTCTGATAACTGAACTGTTTACGTGTATTTTAATAAATCTTAAAAATTTATTAAACATCCTATAAATTTAAAAAATTAAATAAATCATAATATTATTATAATAAATAAACTTAAAATTTTAAGAAAGGAATAAACCTCCTTACCGTCGTACCAAGCCCTGAGAGGTAAGAAAACTGACTACAGAAGTGGGAAATTAACCAGAGGTTCCAAACCCAAACAAATAGCATTATAAAAATAGTAATAAAGATGGTGCCAAACCAGCGAACCACCAACTTGGCTATATATATTTGTAATTACTGCAATTCATCAGGATTCTCCCTGAACTGGGCTGACCTAGTTCATATTAAATTCACTCACTTTTTAAGCTTTTGTTAGGTTTCCATTACAACTACTTCTGCCTCTCAATCCGATCACCTACCTATTTTTTTATTTTATACCTCCGTTAAGATTAACAACATAGCATTTGAAATACAAGATAATGGTTATCTAGACTTGGATTTGATTAATCAATTCCATTTCATTTCATCTCTTAGCTTTTCAAAGTTTTTTATATGACATTAGTTAACATCAAACCCATATTAAATAGTATTTGTAATATAATTTTCAAATGGTAAACAGGCAGTTGAAGGTGTGATAAATATAAAACACAGACTCACAAACGTGTAAGTTGTAGCATAGACTAAGTTTTCGTATTGGCTACGCCTGTGTTACTTGGCGAGATTGACAATAAATAAAAAAATGAAAATATTTTCCATGTGCATCCACAGGAAACAGGGCCGGATTTTCTATAAGGGTTTATTCCTTACAGCTGGGTTTCCCAATGAATGACATGGATATGTTGCAGACTTCAATTTCTTCTTTTTGAGGATAAAATAAGCCTTCAACCTCCAGCTGTGTTAGCAAATATTCACTTGGAATACTTTATGATTAATTATGAACCATTTCTTAACATCATCATGAAGAACAAAGCAAAACAAATTCATTTAACCATTTTTTTTTTTTTCAACTTCAGGTAACATGAAGAAGAAAGCAAATACATGAATATCGTGATTTTTGTAGCTTTTAAATGTTTAAAACTTCATTTTTATGCGTGGAATATTGCCTCTGCAATGAGATCACCAACTACCTGCAACATGCAAAGTTGACAGATCCATCTCCTTGACTTTCTTGCTTTTCTAATTCGAATCGATTTTGACTTTAACTTACATTTCAATTATACATATCTTAGTTATATTTTTTTCACACAGAAAATTCCAAAATATGGTAATCAATCTTAGTCGAACAACTGTCAAATATGTGATTTATAATAATATTAGCTTTGATACTTACTAAAGAAGAGAAAAAGAAAAAGACTTCAAGTAAATATTTTATGGAAGATGAAATTGAAAATGCAAATGCATTGACCTTGTCAGTATCTCTGGCGTCAAAATGGATATAATTATAATTTGGTAATTTGAATGAAATGAGAAAAATGCCAATCAAGTCAGCAAGCAAAATTATATATAATTTATTAAAGCCTCCACCATGTCATCAGTACTGAATTTCCAGGTTAAAAAAATTACACTAGAATATGAAAATGATATATCAAGCCCGGACAGACAACCATAGCCTAGGAAGAAACCAAGAAAACTGACAAACCAGAAAGATACTCTTCTACGAAGTGACATATTAAGAGAGGCCCATGCATAACATTTATCATTTAAGAAACCCATCTCATTCAAACTAACCCTTTAAGATCATTCTACAACATCTCAGAAATATTAACCTTCACATGAATCGGTTACGGTTGCTTAGTTTTCTGCTTCTTCTTCTCTTCTCAGAGTTTTATGTTGGAGCACAAACCTATGGCTATGGCGGCCGGGATGAAGCGCCTTCTCAAGATGCTGTCTCAAATTTCAAACCAAGTTTAACTGTTGTTATTGGTATCCTCTGTGTCATGTTTTCGCTTACATTTATCCTTCTAATGTATGCAAAATTTTGTCACAGGGGTTCCTCACTTTACAGCAATCCACAAAACAACCCTGCACTAATTAGATCGACCTCAAGATTTTCAGGAATTGACAAGACAGTCATCGAGTCGCTTCCTTTCTTTAGATTTTCTTCGCTTAAAGGTTCAAAACAAGGGCTTGAATGTGCAGTCTGTCTATCCAAATTTGAAGATATCGAAATTCTGCGGCTACTGCCCAAGTGCAAGCATGCCTTTCACATTAACTGTATCGATCAATGGCTTGAAAAACACTCGAGCTGCCCTCTTTGCAGGCACAAGGTCAACGCTGAGGACCCAACAATCTTTGCTTATTCAAATAGTATGCGTTTCTTGTTCAACCAATCTGAGGTAAGAGACGACTCTAACATAGAGCTCTTTGTCCAAAGAGAGGAAGACCAACATGGTTCATCAAGATTCAGCGTGGGAAGCAGCTTCCGGAAAATTAAAGAGGAAGAGACTGATAAGGAAGAACAAGTGTTGATATTCGACGAAGATGGCGTTGAAAGCGATGATCAAAAAGTTTTGCACAAGTTTAATCACAAGATTATTGTTTCCGATGTTATTCTTAAGAACCGGTGGAGTAGTGCAAGTTCTTCAGACTTGATGCTTTTGAACTCAGAGATGCTTAATGTTATGTCAAGCAACAGATTCTCTAACTTAGAAGAAAATAATAGTGGTGACCAAATTTCGACACCAAGAGCGATTGAAAACGAGCAAATAAAGCAGATTAAAGAGGAGATGGAGATGAAAAGATTGTTTGAAATCAAGGTTAGTTCAATCAACAAAACTAGTAGTAGTCTTGAGGGTGCTTCAGGATCAGATTCTAAAATCATTTCAAGGAGTTCAGATCCAGCGAGAAGATCAGTGTCAGAAATCACAGCCCTTTCCAGGTTTCAAGAATTGAATATCAAGAACAGAATTAGAGAAACTTCCTTTGACGGAAACGAAAGAACGAGAAGGGTTTGGTTGCCGATTGCAAAGAGAACAGTTCAATGGTTTGCAGATAGAGAAAAAAGATCCCAACAGAGGCCTCAGAAAACATTAGATGTATAAATTTAATCAATAACCAAGTATGTGCTTTTTTTTTTTTTCACCAAACTCGTATATTTGAAGATGTTAGATAGATAAATTAATAATACATGTACGTTTATAATCTTCAAAATGGTTAACGGATTGAGGGAAAATGATTTACAGGAGTTTTGCTATATATATATATATATATGCTTGTTGACTGATAATGTGTTTGTGAAAGATAGATTTACAGGAACATTATCGGGTTTCTTATTTAACTACAATTTATTCTGCTTTGAACAAGAAGTGATTGCCACCCTGGTCTTATTGATCAAGCATGTTCTTTATTTTTATATAACGACTTCCATAGGAGGAAAGCCAGTGAATCAGGTTGTAAGAATCTCAACCCCAGCTTCAGGAAAATATACTTCTATCGGCCATTTCATGATGGGTGTTTTAAACATTAATCTTATACTCATCAATAACACAAATGGAGCCTTACTGTATTTTTTAAGTTTATGAATTTGTCTTACAGCTTTAAGTCAATGACAAGTATCCATCCACACAAGAAAACAAGTCTCTGTTGCCTTTCTTTATTCTCGCTTGGCCTGCCACCACTGGCGCATACTGAGCTGAATCCTCTTTTCTTGTCTTTGAATGAACTAATCAATGTTTTTATCATTTTTTTTTTAATATATATTTCATTATTTTGTCAGCCCAGTATTTCATAATTATAATATTTAACGTGCAATTGCTCTTCCAAATTTTTTATTTCTGGTATCAAGCAACGAATTCACGTAATCTTTAATAATAATAATAAAAAAAAAATGGATATAGTGAACTTGATCTACATGAATTTGTTTAGGCAGATTTAGCCTTTCTATTTTATTTCTTTGAACGTGTTCATCTAATAGATTAGTTTCTTAATTGTACAGTAGGTCTATCAGCTCCTGTTTAATAATATTTAACATGGCAATAATTGAATTTAGCATTTTAAACGCTTCATATTTAAAGCCATCTTGTGATCCATGAATATTCTCTCAATTTCAGAGAAATAAATTCACCTAAACTCACCGACCAGACGGCAAAACCCACCTTTGTAGTATTCTGTTTCTGTACTCAATTATCCATGAGTTTCATAAAATTATACGGGAATATTCATAGCTCAAAACATGACATCTCATAAATAGCCTACCTGGGATGTTCTTACAAAAGTCAGAACGTTTACCAGTTTTAATTTAATCAAAATATTGAGCTTATGCATATGCATACACCAGTCCTCAAAATAATAATATCCCTTGCCCTTTTCAAAATATATGATAAAGAATAAATGAGACAACAACTCGGCCAGAAAATTAACCTACAAGTAGCCGACCCTGTGAAAGTTACGGAAAACTAGACTTTTAATTTCAAAATACGAGGGGGCCTAACTTATTTACATATTTATGTATTTACAGAAATGGGAAAATACGCAAAGAAATAAAAAACCTACCAACTATTCTCTCCAATGAATTAGTTAGATGGCTAATTTCGCAGCTACACAGGACACCATGACGCCAAAAAAATCACAGGCTTATGAGAAAATGTAGGCTGGAATTTGATCTCCCTTCTCCAATTTCTTTTGTAAAAGTAAGCTCTTCAAACTTTCACAATCTCAGCAGGGGTTTCATAAAAGGAGAATAGAATACCATCTGCAACGAATCGACCAAAGCAGAGTCAGATACCCATGTCCAACATTCTGCTACCAATCTTCAAGCCATTCTGGAACATTGAGTTCTTCTACATCTCGAGGTGGAGAAGCTCGAGGAAGAGCAGAGTCCTCTAAAAGGCTTTCCAAGTGTTGACTTATACGAGAAGATATCTCATGCGGAACAGGAAAACTTGAATCTGCAATCCCTTTCCAATCAACACCATCAAACCATGGATGAGATTTGACAGAACTGGGACCCTGGCTACCAAGTCTTGTATTTTCATCAACTACAAGTAACTGAAAAAAGATGTATATGTTGAAATAAGATTTAGAATATTGAATATCTATAAGTTATCTTCACATAAATTTTCAGAAACAAGGGTAAATAAAAAGAAAGAAAACGCTAATATTTACAAACAAGACCTTTGTAATGAGATCAACAGCTTCAGGACTTAAAGTCTGTGGAAGATTTAACTGCCCTTTCGCAATCTTTGCAACTATATCAATCTCACTTTCCCTCCACGAGCCAAATGGCATTTCACCTTGTAGCATGAAATAAATCAAGACTCCCAAAGCCCACCTGCATATTGACCACCGTATTAGGGGTTGAAGACAGTTTTGATAGATGCCTTCATTAAGCATGAAGAAAACAAAGTTATTTAGAGCTGTGTCTACAGATTAAAGCTAACACCACCTACTATAATACACATTCTTAAGATCATTAAGTATTTGTAGGAATTGAACTCAATTATTTTCCATTATCCTTCAGAAAAAAGACGTGCACTAAGAAGTATGAACTAGATGTTGATATAAAAAATTCCCCTCCTCTCTTCGTAAATAACACCATCTCCTCAAAACTATATGAAAACTGCAAAAGATACAATGAAACTACGTTTATGTTTCATAGAACAAGATTGTATTCAATTACACATGAAATGCCCAAAATCCATATCAGATTAATTTGATCATTTATTCAGCATGAATTTTAAATTTTGTCTTTCCATTATTCAATGATGATGTTTCCTGATGCCATGGTTAAATATAGCCATACTGTCAGTATCACAAAACTAAGTTAGGCACTTAACATGTTAAAGGAAACCCAATAGTGACCTGGGGAATGCTTTTCTAAGTTGCTTTTGCACAAGACAACATTCTTTAAGATTTCAAATGGATCCAGATTTTCTCCATAAGGGGAAACAGAAATACATTAAATCTTCCATAGGAATCAAATTAACTCCTCAATCCCATTAAGAGTATGGTCATCCTATCTATTCCTATACTTCACATCCAAACATAGTGGTGGAATTTTTCATGTCGGACATCTGTTTTCAGCCCAGAACCTCCTAGGTCAGCCATCCAATACAAATCCTAAAAGGATAGTGGAAGCACTAAGAAGCACAGCAAACATTTATCTCACAATTACAATTAACAAAGTGTCTAATATTTGCATTATTTATGTCATAAAAACTTTAGCATAAGCAAACAGAGGCATTTTTACCAGTCAGAAGGGAAACCATGGCCTTTTCCCTGGACAATCTCTGGGGCTAAATAGTCCGTCATTCCACAAATTGTGAACGTTCTGTTGTCAGATAAGTCCTTCCCAAATCTGAAGTCCACTAACTAAGAAACAGCAAAACATAGTAAAAAAATATAATAAAATAAGCATAAGTGCATATCCCTGTACAATTTACTCAGTAAATGAGAGCAAAGGAAAATTGACGATGTACGAGTAAATTGACAAGATAACACTGAATCACATTTGGTAATAATGCAGCATAAAAAATGCACCACCAACCTGTAAATGTCCACTTTGATCCAACATCAACACATCGGGAGATACTCCTCTGTAGAGAACACCATTCTGAAATCAAACCATAAAGGAATTTAGAAAGAGAGAAATGAGACAATTATAATAGAGCTGCATAACAAATTCAAGGAGGGGAAGATTTATAAAACTAATTCTAGACATTAGACCTTATGTAGATCTTCTAATGCAACAACAACACAGGCAGCACAGAATTGTGCGGATGTTTCATCAAGTGGTATGTGAAGTATTGAAGCCAAAGGGCAAGCAAGAAATGTATTCAATAGCATTCCAGCATAAGCTCGATCAGCACAGGTACGTAAAACCTGTGGAACAAAAGCTAAAGGGCCTATATTTTTCATCAAATTCTTCTCCTTTAACACTTGAGCTTCCTTTCCCAGCCTATTGACCTTCTGCTTTGAAAACCTTTTCAAACTGAGCAAATTATCTGACAGGGAAACACATTCAGAAAGATGAGTTTCATCAGCACACACCGTCCATAGAAAGACAAACACACATTTTATTACAACATTATATCAAATTAATTTACATCAGTCAGTTTTCTATGTAACCATAAAAAACACATTATTTCAAGTACATTATGAGTTGCATACTTCTAGTTTTTGGCCAAAAAGCAAGTCACTCAAGCAAAATGGCAAGCTGAAACCAGAGCCCTTGAAGAAAAGAAATAATACATGATAAAGCCTACCTGAGTCTCTCAAAATCACAAGCCCAATCTCACTGCAGTCAGTGGAATATAAGCACTTTCTCCATTCCTACAAAGAAATTTCCATTAGCTGATTTCAGAAACCGATCTTTTTTTGTAGAAGGTAGCATTTAGAAGCATAACTATAGGTAGGACCAGCAATCATTACCATATCAGAAAGGCTGACTTTAGCAAGAGTTGAGATATCAACAGTTTTGGTGATTTCCTTGGGAAAACCAGAAGAATAATCTTTTGACCTAAATGATACAAGACTGAAAGGAGATAAAGCAAGCATTTTAGCATATATATATTCAACAATTAAATAAAAATAAAAATTCAAAGAAGTCATAGTTGTCACTGAGGATGTCCCCCATTTTAATCATAAAATTGAAGATCTTCCATTTTGGGGGTTTCTAGAATTTGAAAGCAAGAAAACTTTTCTACTTCCTGATTTGCTGCAGCCAGATTAGAAGAAATGTTGAAAAAATTCAATGTAAAATATGAGATTAAACACTCTGTACAAGAGGTTACAACATACTTTTGATCATCCTGTGAAAGCTTTGTTAAAGGACCAACTACTAAATCAAACTTCTCTTTTGTTAAAATGGCACATACAACATCATCCACAGCAACTGCACTAAAAGAACTCATATGTTCACCAAGAAGTGTCCATTCGCCAAAATAACTTCCTTCTGTCTTCTCCACAGAGAGCTCTTTACTGCTCTCCGGATTATCATCCTCTTTTTGATTCTCGGATTTCAGGCTGCATACATTTGGATTACATAATAAGTCTGCATCAAATGTAATTTTGACTTGTCCCTTCTGGATAATATATAGAGCAAAGAGGCATTCATTCTGCATATACATGTCGGAGAAATTTAATAGAAGGAACAAACAGCAAAGGAAACATATTCTTAAAGAGAATCAAATTTACCCTATCAACTATTGTCTGTCCAGCTGAGAAGGAAACTTCAGAAAGAGAATCCGCAAGGTGACTTAGCTGTAATATTGTCAACCTTGAGAGAAGATCCACTGATCGAAGCAACTTCAAAGATGAAAGATCTGAAAACTCGGACATAAGAATTCCTCGAAAATCTTCTCTTTTTAAAGCCCATAGCATTCCATTAGTCACAGCACGCACAGAGGCCTGGAGTGGCTTGTTATACCTAATGCGTCATATAGCACAAAAATTGTTTATTTACAACTGTGTCTAAAGCAATAAAGATCTACATGACCAGGGTTAATAATTGTAAACAAAACTCCAATATGAAACCATTAACAGCCTAATTCATGTACTGGCAAATGCAGAGGAAGAGAAAATCATGAGAGGGAAATTTAAACAACTCATCACTGTGAAGATCAAATTACCTCATGGCAAAGTTTTCAATCCAGAACTGTTTCATACAGAAATCGTGCTAATAACAGTTATTTTTGTTTTATTGATAAAATTTAAGCACATGGATGAGGCAATAAGATTCAGTTTTGGTGTAACACATCGAAAGTGTTATACCAAAAGGGAAAGCAGAATCATATTAAAGGTTCAGCAATCACTTTGTCATCCAGTACCAAGTATTTGTCAACCTTAGTAAAAATAGCAAAATCATTTATTTCAGGTATATATATATATATATATATATATATATAGAGAGAGAGAGAGAGAGAGAGAGAGAGGGAGAGAGAGTAAATTGGAATAAAAGTAGGAAAAATATAAGAGAAAAACCCACATGAGGGCAAGCTCCCCAAAGGATGATAACTTCTCAGCTGTATAGCACTGCAAAACCCTAGGGACTTCTCCGTTTATTTCTTCCTGCCATGACAATTTTTAGTCAAGAAACAGAAACAATCTCAAAGATCTTACAGAAAATCAAAAGTTATATATGAAAACATTTATAACTCATCCAAAATGACTATCCAAATTATACCAATTGGGAAATCAGAATGTAACAACAGTGACATTTGATGCTAATGCATTATAACTCATTAATAAACTAAAAAAGAGAAAGTTTGAAGACCCATCCAAGAAGTAATAGGCTTTGTAAAGTTGATAAATTTGAATTTTTTATCAAGCAACTAAATAAAAGCAAACCTGAGTTGCCAAGACTTCAAATTCTCCACTGCCAACAACATAAAAGCAGTCACCTTCACCACCCTAATAAACATAACAGAGTTATACTTCTGCAGCTTTAATTCCAACAACAAGAATCATATTAAACAGAATTCATCCACCACTACTTGCACATGAAATTTTACAGATAGTCAAACCAGGGTTAATCATTGTGAACAAAGCTCCAATATGAAACCATTAACAGCCTAACTCACGTACTTGCAAATGCAGAGAAAGAGAAAATAATGAGAGGGAAATTTGAACAGCTCATCACTGTGAAGATCAAATTACCTCACGGCAAAGTATTCAATCCAGAACTGTTTCATACAGAAATCGAGCCAATAACAATTATGGTTGTTTTATTGATAAAATTTAAGCACATGGACAAGGCCATAAGGTTTATCTTCTGACATTTCCATATTCAAGCAGCCCACTGAATGCTGATGTTCAACATTAATACTCAAAAAGCAACTTTATTCCACATTTTTATATATTTATCAGTTATTGTCAGCCCTTATGTCATTATAATACACATAAGGACAACAATAATTGAAAATTAAGCATAAAAGAGAACCATTAGAAAGTACTAACCTGTTTAACGACAACATCCCCTGCTTGAACCTCTACTCTTTGCATGCAATCCAACAAAACATGGCACTGGGAATCAGTAAGCTTCCTGAAGAGGAAATGGTCACGCAATGCTCGCTCAATGTGTGCCTATAATGTACAAACATTTACTAGTTTAGCACCCATGAATTTTCCAAGTATAATTCATGCAGATTAATATTTGTAACATTTTTCCCTTTGAATTTTATGGTAAATACCAAAAGAAGAAAACAATGAAGATAAGAATTTACTTCTTCTTCCCAAGTCTTCCTGTGGGCTGAAGATGATGGAATCCAGACTTGCCCATTCTCTAATGAACTCTCGATGGCACGAAGACGTGTACGTGATAAATCATGCCTTACACGTTGGTTCCTAGAGCTCCAGCCAAAGGTTGAAGGAGATTCTGAGCCCGTCACCTCCACCACTTGAGGAACAGGGGGTCGTAGAACAGCACCAGAACTTACTGAATGACCAGCAGCACTCTAAAAAAGAAAATAAAATATTTTCAAAAAGAAGCAAGCAAGAAACAGATCATCATGCAAAGCAAAATTTTAATTTTCCCTTAAATAGACAAATATAAAAAAGAAGCTTTCTTACTCCAGTTAGCCCATTAATATGCACAACTATTACAGTGATATCATCCGTCCGAGTTTCATATTGTAGCCAAAGACGATAAGATTCAGCCACAATAGCAGCGCAAGCATCACGGGGATCTTTGTATTTTGCAACCTGGAAATATAATAGCAGAAAGGAGAATAAAGAGAAGGAATGACATTAGAAACTAATGTTGTATCTATAGAGAAAAATGTAAGGATGGGACATCAAGACTTGGAATACCAAAAATTAAATATAGTGAAGTTCAGTAAACATATATGCAACCTAAAGATTAGAGAATCACGTATACCATCGCATAGGTAAGTGTGCAACCTAAATTACAGTCATTGCACTCCATATGCTCAAGTTCACATCAATATTTTGCTGATACCAATTTCAATATCACAGTCTAACAAACGATCAATAACTATACGAATTCATTCAAGCAGGTAATATTTCAAGAGTTTCAGGAGACTAGCATAAATGTTAAGCCGAGTTACAAGTAAATCATCAGTCCATATTAAAGGATTATCTAACATTTTCATTATAAACAGAGATTAAAAAGGATACCTTACCATGTCAACGACAGTTTGACTAGAAAGAAACTCAAAAACCCCATCACTAGCAAGTACAAAGAAAGGATGATCCTTGGTGAGCTCCAAAACAACAATCTCAGGATTTGCAACAACCCCAATTGTCTCAGCAATTGAATCTCCAATACTCCTTGTAAATGCCGTACCTGGATACATCCCATTCGGGACCCACAATCTAGGAGGATCACCATCATCACCCTCTTCAGTGCCCCAACACTGCACATCCGGATCCTTTAAACCCTCAATTTGGTCCAATGTCAACACTCTAGCTCCACACATCTTCACTCTTTCAAGCTCATCAGGTCTAAACGGCGTCTGATCAATAGACAAATCAACGGCCACAATTTCCTTCCCTCTTTTCTCAGCTAAAACCGCTCTAGAATCACCAGAATTCGCCACGTATATCGTCTTCCCGCGAACCAAAACCGTTATGGCTGTCGTCCCACTCATACTATCATCCAAAATATCAGCGTGTAACTGCGAATTCGTCGCCAAAAACGCCGCGTGGCACGCCTCAACAGGGTCCACATGAAACTTGCTATCTCTAAGCAAATTCTCACACAGTTTCCGCTTCACAAACTGTGAACACTGGGCTCCATGTTCTCCATGACCATCAAAAACTCCAAAGAAATTATCATCAGGACTGGTCCCAAAAGGAGTGTGAATACAGAAACTATCTTGATTGGCCTTATCAAGAGCATCTGGATAATAACCTCTTTGCGAAAGAAACGAATATCTCAACTCGTACTTACCGGACGGAACTTTAACGGTTCTTGAACCGTCAGAAGGAAGAAACTGAGACGAAACCCTTGAGAGTCTAGTAATACCCAGTTCTGGGTCCCTCAATTGGTTGATTTGATCTCCAGTTTCGTCTCCTGAACCGTCTGATGAAGCTGGAGAGAATACAGCAGTTTCGTTTGTGGTTCTTGGTGCGATTCGTTGAGGCTCTTTGATTCTAGCATCTCTTGGCGTGCAAATCTCGCCTATACAAGCTCTTGAATACACACAACCCATCACTCCAAACAATAATAAATGTGCACCAATCCAGATTCTAAAATCATTACTGTGACTTTCTCTGCTCAAGAAATGCAAACGCCACACACTTATTCGTGAGAATAAAACCAAATTCAAAAACTGGAATTGTTAATAAAATTGAAATCAAAGTTCTCGATCTACTGTTATAGAAAACCGTTACACTAAAATAATAATAAAATTAATAAATAATTATTATTGTCATCAAATGGAGTCAATGGGTGAAAGACAGAGACTGTGCGTTTGGGAAGAATTTAAAATATTGAAAGAAAATTAAAATAAAAAAGGAAATCAAATAAACACAGGGAGGTTCAGTTGGCGTGGATTACTGGAAGGAAATGCAAGCGGATGCAGAGTGTGTGTCTGTAAATGCAAATTAAAAGAGCGAAAGAGAAGAATGAGAGTAGGAGGTAGAGATGGAAGTTTGAAGGGGGGCGCGTAAGAAAAAGGAGAGTGACACGTCGTAGATTGTGGATCAGAATTCCGGATTTTCACTTCTGGGTCTGGCTAGTTTTAGGTGAAGATGTATGTGTCGTATATCAGTGCATGTGTGTGCAAGGTCAGAGTCTCAGCTTTTGTGGCCACTGCCCACTGTTTATTTCCACGCGCTTACGTACGAGTGGACTTGTCGTGTTAGTGTTTAAAATTGAATCGTGACTTGACTTGAGAGTGATCCAATTTGGAGTAACACTAAGGTCACGCTTTGCAACCGTCTACTACTTGTACTTGTGTGTTATTCCTCTCATATACAGTAACGTGTCATTCCAATGTAGTCAGTAAAACACTGGGATTATGGGATTGAGAGATAACCCCACTCCCGAGTTAATTCTATGCCAAATTTTGTTATACATATTTATTCAAAAATTAATTTTACTAAGACCATGAATTTTATACGGTAAGTCTAGCTAAAATTCAATGATTTAATTTGGTTTAAATAATTAGGGCCGCCTTCAATGTACATCCAACAACACTAGACTGAGAGCGCCACCCACGTTCACTCATTATCGCTTCACTTTATAAGTGGTCCCTTAATATCCATCTCTTATTTTATAAAAGTTACGCTCAACCGTGACCGTAACTGATCATAAGTTGTTTTGTTGTACCAAACTACCAAAGTAAAGTAAAAGTCTTTCTCAATCATCTTGTCAATTGTCATCCTTCTTTCATCTATTAAAAAACTGTGTATTACGACTATATCTCCACCAATTCCATTCAAATCTATTTGGTATAACATCAAATAAATCAAATAATTGATATCTTAATTTGAATTTAAATTAAAAAATCAGATTGTAAGTTTGAATTTGATTTTTTTTTTTTTTTGATTACTGTTGTGTGTGATTTTTCCATCAAGCTCGGAGTATCATGAGGTTATAGTTATAACTTGAACCAGCACAAGCTAGTCGTAAATAATCCGTGCGATCTTTCAACCAACTCTCAGATGACTTCATATCCCAGATATCTCGGAAGGGATCATATTGATAACAATCTTTGCGTAATCACAACGCCCAATCGCAAGAATACCAGAGTTGCATTTCAATTCAATTTATTTTCGCTCTTTCCTTTGTACAAACTTTGTATATAAACCCCCTTAAACAATGAGAGAGGGTTGGAAATTATTCCTAGAATTACTATTGTAAGCTCTCACAACAAATACAAAAAACAGTGAACGTAGGCTCAAGAGTTTACCTCGCCGAACCACTTTAACAATCTCTTTGCCATTTTTCTTTACTGTATTCATTATTCATTCATTGTTGGTTACCCATAATCACGCACACACCAATTCTAGTCCCGCCAAGGTCGATCGGATCACTCGAGTTGATGCAGATTTCTATATCAACATTTTGGCGCTAGAAGGAGGGCCTCTACCAACTTCTCAGAAATTCTGGCAAACAACCACATCGATCTAACCACTTTAGGCCCACGATGGTGCGTACAAGATCAAAAACCACCACCGAAAACTACGAAGATGTGGAGATCACCCATCAAGATGCTGCCAAGCGTCGACCACCATTGCTGCCATCTCAACATGCCACAAATAACTAGGGGCAGGGATGTCAAACCCTGAAAACGACCAACTGGTGGAGATGATCAGAACCATGGTTGCACAGGCGGTGCAACAGAATATAGCTGAGCTGAGAAATCAGCAACCAATCGCCCAGAACCTTGACCAGCTGTGTTTCACTAATACCACCCCGACGGGTCGAAATTCAGTTGGAGACCAGTCTGGCTCATCGGCGCCAAGAGGCGACCAGCACCCTTGGCGTCACAGAGTGCACTCCACTAAAGAGCATGAGTCTCGCAGACAAACTAACCTCGGGAGGCGGCAAGGGAAGAAACCAATTGGTGAAAGTGGAGGTAATGGTCACCCACAAGATGCTCAACCTACTCGGCGGTATCTCCAGTGTTAGCGTGCCAGTCTTGACCCACACCCAAAGCAAGCTTGACCCTCACAAACTGGCGAGACGAGTAATATGAGCCAATCTGGCAATGATCGATGTTTTGGTTATAACCAACATCGTGAGCAACGCACTGACGGGCATGATAACACTTATCAACCAAGCCATCATGACTCAACTTCACGCATCAATGCGCGTAATGGAGGGGGTTCACATGCGATAGATTTGCAAACTCACTTGCTCGAGATAAGGTTGAACAAAGCCAGCTAGGGCAATCACAATGAAGACTTAGATCGTGTGCAAAAAATGCTAGACGATCTAAGAGCCCGCCAGAATGGTGCGGCGGAAGAAATAGTGAGTTCCCCATTCACATAAGAGGTTCACTAAGCCCCGCTTCCATAAGGATTTAGGGCACTAGAAAGCAAGTTCGACGGGAGAGGAGACCCTAGAGACCACCTCGACAATTTCAATGACCTGATGGAGTTGCACCAGGTATGTGACTTGGCGAAGTGTCACTACTTCGCGGTCACATTGGTAGGGGATGCCAAGAGGTGATACAAGAGACTCAAGGTGAGCTCCATCAGTTCGTGGCGACAATTCTCATCGCTTTACTTGCAGCAATTTCAAGCGAGAAAACAGTTCACAATGCCGCTCAACTACCTGAGCAACATTCGTCAAGAAAGAGACGAAACTCTGACCTCTTATTTAATGAGGTTCTAGAACAAGCAAGTAAAAGTCGCGAATGCACCCGAAGAATCAATCCAGACTTTGCTAATTGCAGACATCAGGCCAAACACTAAGCTGTGGAAAGAGCTCCAAAGCAAAGATCATGTGAGCCTGACAAAGTTTTATCAGATGGCTGCAAAGCACCAGCAAGTAGAAAGCTCGTTAGCAGCCCTAGCTAGAAGCTCACCAAAAAGAGCCTCGGACAGACGATAAGATCGCTCATCAGATAAGCGGAGGGGCAAAGACCACAATGATAGGGACCAAAACAAGTCCCAAAAAAGACAGAAAACAGATAACCGCAGGGACAGGTAACCCTTCCCACGGTACGCAGAATATACCCCCCTCACGTAAGCCGTGAGGCGAAAATGCTGCCTGCTCTAGAAAGAATGAGAGGGCTCCAGGCAGAAGAGATCGGCAAAAATATTGTCGGTACCATCGGGAGATTGGACACAACACAAACGAGTGTCGGGCTTTGAAAAATGCCATCGAACACTTGATACGAAGGGGTCATCTAAAGGAATTTGTTAAGGAGGCACTAGCTCACGAAAACATTGGCGAGCAAAACAATCAGGTCTAAAAAGCCCCAGCCAGCGCCAACAATGATGTCCTGGTGGGTATGATCTACGGGGGGCTTGACATAGTAGGAAGCTTAAGGTGCGCCCGTGAGCAATATGTGTTAATGTATGCACTAGGAACTAATCGTGTTGTCGGTTCCAAGGTATTATGTTTTGAATATATATGTTAATGTATATATTTTGTATATACATTTTTATCTTATTAATAAAAGAATTAGTTCTTATTTCACATGTAGTTTACTACTTCATTTATATATATGTATTACATGTGAAATGTCCAAATGATATAAATCTTTAAAGGATCAAAATCATCAAAGTATTCCCTACATAGGTAATATTAATTGGGCAATAATATTATATAGTAGGCATGCTGAATGCCTTCGTTGAATATCATGTGATGGTATTAGTGTGGGTGATTATAAAAGCTATATCACTAGGGCATTAGCATGGATAAGCGATTAGTGAACTGTTTATCGAATATGGCCATTTATGATGAATCACATGGACATTTAAAGTGCAGTCAATGATGCATCATAAGATTGTACTAGTATACTATTAATCCTTAGACTTGAGATATCATGGTTGGATTCTGCATAAACGCATATAGTTCATATGGTGTATAAACACGAGGCTAATCTTGTCATGTGTAAAAAAGCCGATTTGGCCATGTGTTATTTATGTGTGAAGACAAGTGGTGGTCAAGATGGGATCTGTTGACTTGGTATAGATTGATATCAAGTTCCTAGACAAATGTCAAGATACATTAGAAAAGGGAAATCTTCGGCTCTGGTATATAAAATGTTACCTAAAAGGTTGCTTCATGGTGACATGTTCCGTTGTATTGATTGTCAATTTGATATAAGATTAAGACAAAAATTTTGACATACCATGAATCCATCCTTAATTGAGATTAAACAATGGAAGGATTTAATTACACAGCGCATATGATTATAAAAGGGTTCGTTGGAGTATATCTTCATTGTGACTTAGGGTTATGGAGCATTACTAGATGTCTATCATAAACGGTGGGAGTTTCGGTCATAAAGAGTTATGACGAAACATATCGGAATAGACTATGATATTGGGCCCACGGCTAGTCCACAGTGAACCTAAGAGGTCAAACATAAGAACTAAGGAGAATGGAGAAATAGCCAAAGAGAGTTAATTATCCAAGGTTGGCCAGCACCTACTAAGGGTAATAAAGTTATTTATATTATTATCATTGAATTAGATTCATGGAGGGTTATATTAGTTATTATGAATAATTTAAGAGTTAAATTGCTAATTGGAAATAAATGAAATTCCAATTCATAATTAATCATTTTCTTTATATTAAATAAGATTTAATAATGGGTTGTAATTGTAAACATATAAACAATTTAAGGGTTAAATTGTTATGTAAACAATTTAAGAGTTAAATTGGTAATTATGATTAAATGTTAATCCAATGTTATTATTTAAAAAAGTTTAATAACTTCATAATAATTATGGAATTATTTACAACTCCAAAACAATTATGGAATTGTTTAAGGAAGTCCAAAACAAATATTAAATTGTTTACAAGACTACATATATAAAGAAAATGATATATCAATTTTAGGGTAGAGATCAAAAATTTCTAAGAACCCTAACGATCTCTTTTTGCCTAATTCTTCTTTTACCTTAGTGTGGATACTCTTTTGTTTAATTTATCTTGAAATTAAAAGTCTCAAAGGTTGCTAAGGATTTAAGGTAACAAGCTATACCTTGTTTTCAATTTGATTGAATTTTTTTTGCAAAATACTAATATGCATATTATAGTATCACATGCATCATTCTCCATGCATTCCAACTTTCAATA